AAATATTTTTTGGTTCAAAAAATATTTAGGGACTTAATCGTTCAAAAATATGATTGTTCATTGGGGTTTTTTTCGGACTTTTGTCATTATTTTATCACTTTAACTAGTTGTACAAGTCATAAGAATGTATTCAACAGGTTTTAGAAAAGTCCAAGGAGTTATTTAACATGTTTTGGATTGTCCAATGACTTATTTGTTCCAAAAATTGCCCAATAAGTTATTTAACATGTTTTAAATTGTACAATGACTTATTTGTTCAAAAAAATTGTCCAATGAGTTATTTAATATGTTTTAGAATGTCCAAGGACTTATTTGTTTCAAAAAATTGTCCAAGGACTTAATCATTCCAAACACTAAAGTTCATTGGATTTTTTTAGACTTTCCCCTTTATTCAATTAGTTTACTGTATCAATTATTCATTTATTTATTATTTATTTATGTTAATATTTAAATGTCCATCTTTATTATAATTCAAAATCTTATAGTTAATTTTTGTAAGTCACACTTACAACCCTCATAATTTTAGTCTTTTACTGAAGGTTTTAAATGTTAAAAGTTTGAATTTGACTTTACATTTTGTCAAATGGATATAGATTGCCCGGTTTGTAGGGACTTAAGAAATTCATGTGATTCCGTATTACTTGAAAATCCAATAGATTGAGTGATTTCTTTTTGAAAATTGAAATAGTGATGAAGTATTATCAACAAAATGTAAGCATACAAAAATTCGATATTGTTATGATAGTGAAATTTCATGCATAATATAATGACTATAGATCATAATTCATTGTTAATCATTTATTCTCCATTATTTACGACTTCCTGGACTTAGAAACTTGAGAACCATAAGATAGGTTCGGAAAACACAAACAAATATCTAAAAACCATCAAACCTTATTGACCCTAAAAACGAACTGTTAAGGTACAAGTAAATACCTTGAAATATTTGAGAGACACATCAGTCACAACCTTCCAAATGGAATACTATTAACTAGAAACCCCAAGAATAGCGGGACCCTGAAAAGGAAAATCGAGAATATTCATTTCCATCTACTTCCCAAACTAATCCTACAGTAAACGAAACTCACTCGATTACAAGAAGGTAACTGATTTCAACAAAAAAAATATATATCATGTCATAAAAATGCTTCTTAATCCATGTGGCAAGAAACTCACAGAACATGACATGATTCTAAACATCATTTCCATCTTTGACATATCAGCAGTCATACTAATGAATGAGTATAAGCTCAATATAACATTTAGAACAAACTCATCAATCTACTACAAGTGGTTGAGAGATATAACAAGGTTCTTTCAACTAATAATGTTAGACATGTTGGAACAAATAAATTCTTGAGGTCAATAATGCAAACATTAGAGGTGGAAATAACTCCATAGGATAGTGAGTTAAAGACAATTTCACTCACTTGACATCTAGGCACCATGTGGATAAGACCGTGAAAACTGAAAAGGGTCGGGGTTATGGAAAGAGTGGGGAAGGATTTTCCAATCCTTGGAGCAAAGATGCAGTTATTGCCCATAAGATAATGGACAATTAAAGAAGAAATGTACTAATAATCGATCCTCTTAAAAAAGGGAACAAATTGAAAATGAACTACATCATATTTAAAATTGATGGAATATAGGTTTATTTGAAATTTATTTTAAATATTAAATTAATTTCACATATAAGATTGAATATATAATTGTTGTAGATGTAAAGAAATACATTAAAAACAAAATACAAAACTCTCAATATTCTATATTCCATGTATGAATGTATCGAAGAGAACTTGACTGCTTTTTTACACCTCCCACACGATCTTAAGAGATAGACTATTTAATTGGAAGTGTTGATTTCAAAACTTTAGTTCTTGACATCGAAAATGCTTCTTCAGCATAGCCTTTTAAGAAAACAAATTTATCATAAGCAATTCATCGAACACCTCGTGTCCATAATCAACTTTTAACAATTTGCTTTGATTTTTCTTCCAGAACTACCAACTACAATTCAGATGTGATGACATATACTCGTTGAATCAAATATGAGCAAAAATCAAAAATGAATTTGAATACAAACAGATTCAAACACATATTTGAATAAAATTTTCGAGAACAACTCGAAAACAGTTTCCGAAAACAGAGTATAAAACAATGACTTATGAAGATTTAAAAATGAGATGAAATTGGTAGGTTCGATCGATTTGATTATGAATAATCAATCTGCCGTTGATATCAATCGTTGGATCGCATATCTCATATTGAATCGATGATCTAAACAAAATATATAAAGCGGAAGCAATTTAGATCAAAAGAGTTTATAAATGGAAGAAAAATTAATCAATATGAAAAACAATATGAAGATAGAATCATAGTCATATGATTAATTGTGATCATTAATCTTTACAAAGATTGTAAATGATGAGGGTATTTGAAGATTGAGTGTTTGTAAAAAAACAACTCACATTCACAAATTATAAAATAGGAAGGGGACTCCTAGGGAAATACAAGAAATAGTGATTTTCCTACTTTACGCCCAAGTTTTCCTTTTCACACTTTTAATACTATTGGGACTAACAAAAGTAAAACTCAAGAATGTTGATAAGTGACTTACTTTAGTGTTCTTGCCACATTCAATGGAAATGGGTCCCCCCATCACCGAAAAATGTTGTTTTGGGTATTTCATTACCTTTGATTTTGGTTCTTTAGATGTAGAGGATTATCTATATTTTGATATTTTGGAGTACGAGTCTTGTGCATATTTTGAGTGAATTTGAATATTGGTTGGTCATTCTAAAACGAGTAATTGATTTGGAAATAACAAGCTTTGGAAATTATTCATTTTTACTATTTGTGATTTAAATAAATGAGTCGTATTTAAAGAAAAATTTCGATTTCACTGTTTTATATCGACATGTATATTAGGTCTTAAGGGGATCTGAAGGACGTTTGGAGCTTTGTAGAGGTTTTGGTAGGATGGCTTTAGAAGCATAACCCAATTTTGAAGATAATAGACTTGATGGTTTTAGTAACCCACAACCTACTCTAATTCTGTCAAGTATTGGATTTTTAGTTTAAAACTCACACATATTTTGTTCTCCTTCTTATATAAACTTTAAACATTTTGTTATTAAATAATAATCAAGAATACAGAAAAAGAGACGGATTTTCTATGATTTATGATTATTTCCAATGAGAAAAATAAATGCAATAGCTAAATGATGATGAGCGATATCCAAAAAAGAAAAGAGAGAGATGGGCTTTCTCTCGATTTTGGCATAGTGGGCCCCCACTTTTTATTTTGTAGCAGTTTGAAAGTTTTAAATTGTCTGCTATTTAACGAATTTGTACGATAATGGTCAGTGGTGACAACCGTCATAATGAGATGGAATAGATTAAATACAAAACCATAATAGTGTTTCTTAAAAGATGGGATAAAAGAAATGGAATTTTTTGCATTAAACTTACATTCCACAACAAGTTCTTAGTAAAACTTAAAGAATGAACCAAACACACATAATGGAATTTGGTCAATGGAATCGACCATTCCAGCTCCTCCAAATTCCAACGAATCAAACGCCACCCCACACTTTTCACCATGCTTTTTCACCCTAAACAGACTTTCCAGAAAACTGCTATCATATGCATGGATGCTCTTAGATTTGCAGACACCCAACCAAAAACAATATGATGCTTCAATATTAACCACAATTGGAACTTTATTGTGCAAGTCTCTCCAGAAAGGCATACATACATGAGAACCCAAAAGTTGTTTTCCTTATGGAAGCCAGGAAAGTGCAACAGAAGATAGCTGATGACAAATAAGTGGACTGCAGTCTATAGAGAGGTTAGGGAGCTCTGGGGAAAGAGAGAGTACTTGGCGAATCGATTCTAACGATGTGTTCATCCTCAGCACCAGATTCATCACTTGAGTAATCCATTTCACGAGTATCAATTGTGTCTGTGTTTCCGCGTGGGGCTGTAAGGGGTTCCCTTGCTGTTTCTCCCACCTTTGTCACTGTCGTAGACCCTTCTGATCTCACAGAAATCAGCTGCCGGCTAAATGTTGGTGGGACTATTGGATAAGACCTGCTATGAGATGGCTTCTTGGATGGCTTTGCTAGTTCATTTGGAGAAGTACGAGAACCACGTGCTTTGTTGGAAATCTGATTTTGTCAAATATACTCGCCCATAAAGAAATTATCGCAAAATGCAACAAAGTTTCAAAATTTTCTATTTTGTGCACCCATTTTGAAAAATAACACGTTGATCTTGTAACATTTGATGACGTTGATACCCATTTATGGAAGTATTATGTCGAAGTGGATGATAAACTTGACATTCACATCATCAAATGTTACAACCGGTCAAAATGGGCATAAAATAAGAAATTTCGAAACTTTGTTACCCTCATTGAAAAGAAAGATTATTTGTTACACTAAATGGGAACTATTCTTAGCATTTTGATATATATATATATATATATATATATATAGAGAGAGAGAGAGAGAGAGAGAGAGAGTCGGGTTCATACGAAAATGGTACCTATTTAAGAGAATAATTATACGCCAACCATTTCATTAAACAAAACTTTCTTAAAGGGCATATGTAATTTGTTGTATACAGATTATATATAGAAATTCATTTTATAAAGATTATATAATAAATTTAATTAACGTATTTATTCATGACTTTTTTTTTATAATTTTCGTGATTTAAGCATGATTAATTTTCGTGATTTAGTAGAAAAGGAATGTATGTTATCTACAACATTACTTGTGATATATGCAAATTATGAATTACGTTTTTAAGTACATTTATCTTATACATTTTTAATGTGTTTTTTGCTACTCTTCACATTTGATTTTGTTTTCATTATTTTTTCTTTTTCAATGTTAGTTTGAATTATTCGTTTGAAAATTTAAATCACATATGATTGGAAACATGTTTTGAAAAAATAATTAATTATGAATCACATGTGATTTTGACGAAAATTGTAATTTTTAAAATTCTTGTTTTAAATAAAAAATTGAATTTTTTAAATGAAAATTAAATACGCTTATTTTAAATGCATAAATTTGAAACATTTTTTAAATAAAAAAATTAAATCATATTAAAATCATAAATAAGGTAAAAGTAGAATTTTAAATAAATAACTAAATTAGTTTTATACCCTTTATTTAATTTATTTTTATAATTAATTATTTAATGAAATGATTGACACAAAATTATTCTCCTATTCTTCTAAATAGATATTATTCTTGTATGAATCTAACTCTCTCTCTCTCTCTCTCTCTCTCTATATATATATATATATATATATACATATAGAGGGAGGTTAAGGGGAAAATCACGAAAAAAATGAAAAACTGAGAAACACCCTTCTAAACAATATGCACATGTGCATATAAGTAACTGAAGTTGTTTTTTGGTTTTTATGCACATGTTTGCATACCGAACAAATTGGCCCCTAGATGAACAGTTACCAAGGTGTTACTCAATTTTTCATTTTTTTGCGGTTTTCCCTCAAACCTAACCCTATATATATATATATATATATATATATATATATATATATAACAAGATTATTTAAAACTTTTAGAAGGGAAACAATGAACATACCATGCTGCCATACATGCTTAGTTGCATTGCTCGGGCAGAAAAGTTGTTTATGTTGCCACTGGGATGTTCAAGATGTTGGAAAGACTTAATATGGCGTTGGGGCCAACTCATTAGACCAGCATGGTCTCCACTTGGGGATCTCACAGGGTTATCATCGCCATGTGATATTAATGAAGATGTCCTCCTCTGAAGGGTTCTACTGCCTTCAAATCCAGCAACATCAAACATAATCACCCTTGCCCTTGACTCAACTGTGTAGGAGGATGCATGATAAGAAAAGCTTGCGCCTTATCAACAACCCAAAACATTAACGAGATTAGCCTTCATGTTGTTTTAATAGTTAAAAAATAAGCATGTATTATAACAATACATGCCGAGGGAACTCAAAACAAAAACGTTATAGCTAATAAGTTAGAAATCTCATTTCTATTATTACGAGATAAAGAAGAATTCTTCCACAACTGTCAAACAAACAGAATCTTAAGTATGTATCATTTTGAATACTTCACTCACCAAAGTGTGTACAAGCAGTGTGTGAAGAAAACTAAATGGACTCGAAAGAAAAGAAGTTAATTGTTGCAAAGGCAGAAGAAACAGGATTTTCATCCAATACCCAAAAACCGATTCAATTTGGTTCAGTTCCGTTGGTTCCATGGTTCAGGGTTACACCCCTATAGGTGCCCGCCATGTTTTAATCATTTTCCTCCTCCATTTAACCTTTGTCATTATATTTATAGTGTTGAGATTATTTGCACTTGAATACAAAGAAAAGTTTAGAATCTTGTATACCTTATTTTGTCCAGTACGCCTATGTTCATGTATTATTAATTCAACCAAAAAATCTGTTGAGTTGTCTCAACAAAAGACACGAGTTGGAATTTTGGGACAATATTGAATGATTATTGACTGCATCAAACTCTTAGACATGTTAAAATCTCCAAGCAAGTTTTTTACAAGTTTTCAGATGCTCCCATACTACCAGAATCCCGTCTTTTTTATAGCGGAGGCACCCTCTGAGGTAATTATTATGTGATTATTTGATGTGATTACGTGAATATTTGACTAATTGTTATAATTAATCATCTGGATACATGCTTACATGAGATTAATGTGTAGTGTGTGTATGTTATCATGCATGCAATAGTAATAGAATATGCATGAAGTATTGTATGCATAAAAGGAAAGTATGCATGGGAATTCTGAAATTTGTGTGAATGCATGTGTTTATATGCTTTTTTTTTATTAACTTGGATATCCAACCCGCTATGCGAGCAGACTAATCCCAGGGCGACCACGTGCTTTGCAGATAGCCCGGAGTCACCGCATTTGAACCTCCGTGGCTACAAGGGAACTTTTATTCCTCCTAGGATTTGAAACTGGGACCTCCGGGTACTTTTGACCTTTGGAGCCAAGCTCAAACCAATCAGGCACCACCCTTGTGGTTTATATGCATATTTTATATACATGCATAAAGGTCTTTGCATGATTAACCACCTTCCCATTTATGGAAAGGTATATAAAGTGAGTGTTAGGGAGAAAGGAGGTTTCTTGCCTTTCTTAGAAAGCAATTGAGAGAGAGAGAATTTATGTGGGTTTTCTTTGCTAACTGAAGTAAGAATCAAGTTGATCCATATTTGCTAATTTCATCCTCAAAATCTGAATCTACAAAGGTGAGTGTTTATTCAAAAATAGCCTTTGCATATGATTACTGATTTATAGCCTTGAGATGTTAATGTATTGAAGATACTGCATCTATTCTTGATAATCTTCATTGACCGTATGGAACATTTCACCGGATTTGTATATTATGGAATTTGTGTCCGGACACAGTTTGTTCAGTGAGGGCAAGTACGATCATTGTGTTGAACGATGAGAAATTAAACCCGGACTCTTGTTGTCCGATAAGAGTATATCCGGTCGAGTTAAGAATCTTTCTGATGTCCGGAGAGAGTGCGCGTCCGGATATGATGATTTTTTAATAGTTAAGGATCGTCCGGGTATGAGTGTCCGGCTAAGTGTTGTCCGAACATGTGTTGTCCGGATAGACTTGTCCGGATGTGAGTTAACTTAATATGGTTATTGATGAACTTGAGTGTTGATAAATGGGATATTTCACAATTTCTGTTTAATCTGTTATATTGTGAAGAGGGGTATTTTATATCTTTTAAAGTAGAAAAGATATTAAATGTTTCTTCCGTACGCGGTGACATAAGTCTGTTCTGGTTTGAAACTATATTTTGGAAAATGTTCCTTCCAGACGTGGTGACGTAAGTCTGTTCTGGTTTGAAACTATATTTTGGGAAATGTTTCTTCCAAACATGGTGACGTAAGTCTGTTCGGGTTTGAAACTATATTTTGGGAAATGTTTCTTCCAGACATGGTGACGTAAGTCTGTTCTGGAATAAAACTTTGTTTTAAGAAGTAGTTCCCCCAGACGTGGTGACATTTGTCTGTTCTAGCTTGGAACTGGGTATGGGGTACTTCCAGACGTGGTGACGTAAGTCTGTTCTGGTAAGGAACCCTGTTTTAGAGAAGAAATAAGGGTGGAATATCAAAGAGAGGTGTACCTATGGATATAAGGTTGGCAATTGCAGGTGTGGGTATTATTATAACTCATGTTATTATCACTATCAGATACAATATATAGTGACCAGTTTGTAAAGTGAACAAAAATTCTAGAAACATTAATGCCCCTCATATTGTATTCCGGTAGCTCTTTGATAGAGTTGCTTTCAATATTTTTCTCGCATATTCTTCTTGTGTTGTGAGATGTCCTTGGTGTTGAGATAGATTTAGCATTTGGATAAAAGCTTGGCTAACAGCTATTATGATGTGGGAGTTGTATTTTTACAGAATATATCATAACATGTAAATGTAAAATCAACTTGAGTTGTACGTTCAGAGAAAACTAAGTATAAGATGAGCAATTTTCTCTCTATTAAATAACTCAACAGCCATAACACAACTCATAGGCCCTTATTGGAGCTCTGTTTCAGCATATCCCAATTTTGTAAAGAGTTGGTTTAGTAGTAACTGTGCAAGAGTTTAGTGATGTTTGTATTTGTATCTCCACCTCTCATTCTAACATGTACCGTTGTCCTTGTCTTGATAAATGCATCTTGACTAGCCTGTTTTTTCTCTCTTTCATTCTATCTTTATGGGGTATAAGTGGTTCTTTTGGAGTATCAATTTTGTTTCTTCTAATCCAGCATTTGCTGGTTGCAATCTTGTAAGAACTTTGTAATTTTGTTTCCCTTCTCTGAAGTTAGACAACTTGTCACTTTTCATAGATTTTCACTTCCATTTTATGAAGTCAATCATCGGGCGGTTTGCTTGCAGCGACTTCAGTTTTGTGATTTTCCTCGGTTAGTGCACATCTTATGTTACATTGTTTGGATCAGAGGAACTAAAATCTAATATCTTATACAAATTTCACGTGGGGACAATTGTTATGCTTGGCATTTTGTTACTAACTTAGGCCATGTTTGTTAGAAGCTTAATCGGACACGCAACTTATTCGGTCAGCTATGCATGACTGTTTGGTAGTGGCTTATTCAGTGAACTTCTAGAGGGGAGTTTTAGGCAGAAAGCCAAGCTTTTCTCCAAACCAGCCGCTTCAATTAAAAAACTGTCTATGAAAAAAAACCTCCCAAACAAAAACCATCCCAAACTATCTATGAAAAAACCCTCCCAAACCAAACAGCCCCTTACTGTTGGTGGCTTTATTTGTTTATGTTATTGTTGTGATGTGCATTTGGCATAACTGATCCACTTCTGTATTTCTCATGTGCCTACCCAGACTATATGACAGTTTATATCTACAGGTCGAATTGTTTGTGAATCTGCTTTTCATGACTGGGATGACAGAAAGCAATTAGAATTTGATTTGCTTTATCTCTGTTTAGAAACTGGCTTATCGTTTCATAATCAATGGCTCGTAAAGGAAACCAACAGAAGAATGGTTTGGACAGAAGCACAGCAAACGACAAAAAAGGAGGTATCCCAGGGTTGGCAACACCTAATAGAAAAGGAAAGGGGAGTGTAGGCAACATGAAGGATGTGGAAAGGAAAGAACTTTCAAGTGATACTCAACCAAGCATATCTGTGACTGAGTCCCTTCACAAACAAGATCATGTTAAAGATGAGAAGAAAAGAACAAGCAAATCYGGAAAACAAATTAAAGTAGAGATTCAAGGTACAACCAGGACATCTGCTGTAGAGCAAGCAGAACCACGTGACAGTACTTCTGAAGATTCCAGTGCTAACATGTCARCAAYTGGAAGTTCTTGTTTGGAAGAAGAGAAGTGGGCKTCAGCTAGTGGTAGTTCTGGATCAAAGAACCGAAAAACTAGTTCTGGCCACTCTTTAAATGGATTCGATCGGGATGGTCTACGTGAAAGTGTAGAGCTTCCAGAAGCCTTGGGTGTTAGGTATTTGAAGACKTTTGTGTTGYCTGTCTCACAGGTCTCAACTGAATGGTTGGAYAGACACAAGCCTTTGATTGATATTTTAGTAACCAAGATAATAATCTCTCGTGATTATGTTAGAATGAAAATCAAGCATGCTTACCCGATTATCTTGAGGTGGCTTACACATTTCAYCAACATATTGCTTATCCTTTCAATGGTTTGGTTGGATTGCACTCTTAGAGGTATAGATTCTGTTATACGCATGGGGACAACATCATTTTTCACAGTTATTTGGTGCAGCATCTTTTGGTGGTTGCAATGATTGGAATGCTCAAATTTGTCACTATTGGGGTAAGCCTACTTTATCCTTTTGCAGCTTCTTTATATGCAACTTATCTTCGTAAGTATTGATTTTTTAATATAGTTTGTTTGGAATCATCTAATATTTCAAATGTATACAAGACATTTGAAGTCTTTTACAGATTCTTTGCTTGTAAAGTGTCTTTGTATTTTGTTTTATGAGTTTGTTTCAATAATAGCTTATTTAGACCAAAAGCTAGATTTCTTACCATGTACTTTACTATTTCTTTTGGTGGTGGCTTCTCGTACAGTCACATGAGCAAATCTATGTAGTAACGACACCAGTATGATGGCACTGTGACTAGGCATGTCTTAAAAAATTCAGATCTCAAGACGACCAGGGCATGAACATTGAATATATTATACATACACACTCACACACGAGTTTCATTTATATGTTATTGTTATCACCATTATGCTCAAACTTTATTCTATCTTAATAGAAAATAATGAACACATACAATAGATATTGGTCACCTAACGGTGTAAGTATTAGAGTTATTAAATATGCATGAATTTTAGAAGGATTACTTAGAGCGACTAAATGCTAAGTTGCTATTAGAAAAGAATCATCAAATATGTCCTTCAAAAACTACCTATGTTGGTATGTACTAAGCCCATACTTTGTTGATAAATTTGGATTTTACCTTCTACTTATGCATTTAAACTTTTAAAGCCTTTGTTTCTATTTTAGAAAATTAACGATTTCAAGGATTGGGATATGTCAGTGCCATGTCATGATGTTTGAAATTACAAGGAGATAATAAGAACTCTTTATACATATCTGCCATGCTAGACACTTATCAGTACGTGCGAGACATGTAAGATAGCCATGTTAGACACAAACCACAGCTGTGTCCTACTCGTATATGGCCGTGCCAGACACTCCAATGTATAATGATGGTCCTTGTTACATTGGAGATACTTCTATTCAAAGATTGTTTTAAAAAAAGTTATAACTTCTCTAGCTTTTGGGTGAGGGAGGAAAAAATGTATTATTCTCTCAAATTTTCTCAGGTTTGCACATGTATTCTGGATCCTGTATTAATTGACTTTTATGGTTTTTGTAGGCTATAGTTGCTTTGGTGGCACTTTTTGTAGGGTTCACCATTGGTCTTCTGTTGCTTGCTGTTTCTGGAATTGTTTTTGTGGTTGTATCGAAGCTTTCGGACAACTTTAATCGTTCTCCTGTGAGGTGGTGAGCCTTTTGACACTTGATTGAATACAATAATTCTAAATCGGCATTTCTTTGTGACTTGATGATTTAGAGGTACTGCTCTTTTTAGAAATAATAACTTTGATGTTATTGAGAAGGGGAAAATGATTTATCACCAGAAGCTTTAATTGCCTAAGTTTTCTATCAAATTTGAACATGTGTGAGAATGATGCTGAGGGGCTCTAGTTGATCTTTTAGAAGGACCAGAAGACTTCTGATCATGTGAAAAGACTTTAAAATATTTGGGGAATTTTATGAACCAGAAGCTCTGTATCATACAGAAGCTCTGTATTATACAGAAGCTCTGTATCTAGAAAATAGTTCATTTCTTATTATCTGAAACTCTGTGTCTGAGCTCTGTATCATAGTTTTGTCTTTTGAAATTTTATTCTTTTCTTTAAAAATATTTATAAAATAGAGCAAAGAACCAGAGGAGCTTTGATTCTAGCTTATATTATCTTTTTAATTCAGAAGAAAGAGATGAATCTCCTTATAATGCTCCGATTAATATTTCCGGGAGTCTAGGCAGGGGAAGAACCTAGGGTAGAGGCCGAGGGAGGAGTCAGGCTCAAGGAAGAAGTCAAACAGAGGTTCATCCCGACCAAGGGGAATCCATTTCGGGAAATATCAATCAAGAGCATGGGCCTCAACCAGAATATATAACCAGGGATGTTCTGGCTGAAGAAATGGACAAATTAAGAGAAACTCTGGTATCTATAATGGGATTACCAGACAGAGTAGAAACTGAACGAGTTGGAATGAATCCTCCAGCTCCATCTTGTAATAAAGGGGGAGACATAAAAATGTTTCTAACATGTAAACCGCCAACATTTTCAGGAGAGAGAGATCCAGTGAAGGCAATGTGTCGGATAAAGGAAATTGAATTGGTGTTAACACCAGTAGATGTTCTGAGGAGGATAAGGTTAGATTTGTAGTTTCTATGTTAGAATCTAACGCCTTATATTGGTGGGATGTAGAATCAGCGGCTCAGCCAAATATTCTGCAAACTATGACTCGGGAGGAATTTGTGATCAGATTTAAAAAACAATTCTGTTCTAAGACTGCGGTGAGGCAAATGGAAGAAGATATCTTACAATTGGAGCAAGGTAACAGGTCTGTGCGTGATTATACCTAAAATTTTATTGAATATTCCAGATTTGCAAAACATTATGTTTCCTCTAAGTGTAGAAAGGTAGAAAGGTATATTTGGGGTTTGAAACCCTCCATAAGAGAATTTGTAATTGCTATGGGTCCTGCTACTTTTTCTTTGGTTGTGAATGCTGCCAAGGTAACTGAGAGAAACAAGAGCCGGCAGGGTGAAGAAAGGGTAGTGGATAAACGAAGGTGGGAGGGGTCTTCAACCAATTTCCAAAGACCCAAATTTACAAAAACAGATAACCGACCTTCTCAACAACCATCTGTTAGAGCATGTCGCGATGTCAATAGGTGCATCAGGGAAATTGTCAACCTGATCCGAAGAGATGTTATCGATGCGGCGAGTCAGGTCATCTGTCGAGGGATTGCACCATACCTAAAAGATGTTTTCAGTGCAATTTGCCTGATCATATTCGACCAAACTATCCCCAGTTGAGAATTCCTCGTTTAACCATACGAGGAAATATCCCAAGTGCTCGTGGGAGGCCTAGTGCACCGAGGGGAGGACAGAGTGGGGCGCGGGGCCGATAATTTCAGATGACGAAAAGTAAGGCCGAAACAACACCGGATGTGGTAACATATACTTTTCTTGTTAATTCTATATATGTTAAAGTGCTATTTGATTCTGGTGCGAACTTTTCTTTCGTATCAACATCATTTGCTAATTGTGCATATATGAATTTTGTGCCCCTTAGTGAAACATTAGTGGTTGATACCGCTAATAGTTGTGTATCTGTCACCTATGTGTTTAATGATTGCATAATTGAAATTGAGGGGTGTGGGCTGCCGATCCGATTATTCCCTATGCCGATGAAAGAATTCGACGTTGTGGTGGGAATGGATTGGTTAGCAGAAAACCGGGCTAATATTTTGTGTGACAAGAAAATGATCAGTATTGATCTGCTGGAGAAAGGACCAATTGTTATTTATGGTGATCGGCAAGATCACCATACCAATCTGTTATCAGTTCTGAAAGCCCGAAAATGTATTCAGATCACCATACCAATCTGTTATCAGTTCTGAAAGCCCGAAAATGNATACCAATCTGTTATCAGTTCTGAAAGCCCGAAAATGTATTCAGATCACCATACCAATCTGTTATCAGTTCTGAAAGCCCGAAAATGTATTCAGAAAAGATGCCAGGGTTATTTGGCTTATGTGATAGATTTAAAGAAAGAAAAAGGTAAGCAAGAGTCAATTCCAGTTGTCTGTGACTATCCAGAAGTCTTTCCGGAAGATTTGACTGGTTACCACCTGATAGATCTATTGAGTTCAAAATCGATATGATACCTAGAGCAGTACAAGTGGCAAGAGCACCATATCGGTTAGCGCCGTCAGATTTGAAAGAATTGATTACTCAATTGAAGGATCTTCTTGACAAAGGTTTTACCAGACCATGTACTTCACCTTGGGGTGCTCTGGTTCTGTTTGTCAAGAAGGACGGGTCAATGCGGGTGTGTATTGATTTTCGGTAATTGAACAAGCTAACAATTAAGAATAAGTATTCTCTACCAAGAATAGATGATTTATTTGATCAACTGGTGGGAGCCAATTACTTTTAAAAGATCGATTTGCGGTCGGGATACCATCAGTTAAAAGTCAAAGATGAAGATATTGCTAAAACTGCTTTTCGAACTCGGTATGGGCATCATGAGTTTTTGGTTATGCTTTTTGGTTTAACCAATGCTCCTGCAACTTTCATGGATCTGATGAACCGAGTATGTAATGAATACCTTGATAAATTCGTTATTGTGTTTATCGATGATATTCTTATATACTCGAAATCTGAAGAAAAACATGTTGAACACCTTCGTCTAATCCTCGAACTTTTAAAGAAAGAAAAGTTGTATGCAAAATTGTTCCAATGTGAGTTCTGGTTAAGAGAAGTTCAATTTCTGGGTCATGTCATATCTGAAGCAGGAGTAAAAGTTGATCCTGCTAAGATTGAAGAAGTAGAGAAATCGGATGCACCGAGAATTCCTTTTGAAGTCCGTAGTTTTTTGGGATTAACAGGTTATTACCGGAAATTTATTCAGGATTTCTCCAAAATTGCAGTACCATTGACAAAATTGACTCGGAAAAATATTAAGTTTCAGTGGGAAGAAGATCAACAAAAAGCTTTTCAATTGTTAAAAAAGAGCATCTCTACAGTGCTCCAGTTTTCTGTTTGCCAGAGGGATCAGAAGATTTCATGGTCTACAGTGATGCTTCGAAATTAGGTTTGGGTTGCGTATTGATGCAGAGAGGAAAAATTATTTCTTACGCGTCCAGACAATTGAAGGATCATGAAAAACAGTTCCAACGCATGATATGGAGCTTGTAGCCGTAGTTTTGCTCTGAAGATTTGGAGGCATTACTTGCTAGGATCTAAATGTCAAATCTTTACAGATCATAAAAGTCTCCAACATTTGTTCAACCAAAAAGAGTTAAACATGCGGCAATGGCGATGGATTGAACTGGTAAATGATTATGACTGCGACCTTGGTTTTAAAAAGCGCGATGCGATCCGATGCGTTAAGGGTCCCGGAAGACGATGCGTGATGCGTGATGCTGATGCGCTCGCATCACGCACGTGATGCGCCCAGTATTCAAAAAATATTTATAAATTAATTCTACATAYCAATTTCTACCTTAAAAATACTTACCTATCAAAATACTTCATTTATAACATAAAGTAGTTAAAAAAGTGGCATTAGAATCTTAAAAAGTTCGTGAACCAGAATAACAGAAGTACATAACACACAAACTACTACCATGAAGAACACAATTACACAAGTAAATGTCTAATAGTCCTAATCCCTAAACTAAATGACCAACCAAGTGACCAACTAATCGAGTTCGAGTATCGAGTAATCGAGTTCGAGTATCGATCTGCTGTCGACCTGGTAATCGAGTTCGAGTATCGACCTGGTAATCGAGTTCGAGAATCGAGACTCACG